TAATAAAATTAAGGAAGATTTAGATATCCACATATCAGAAACTTCATTAAGAAGAGTCCTTAAAAAATTACAATTTAAATGGAGAAAAACACAAAATAATCGTAAAGTTTTGGTGGAAAAAATGAAAATAAGAACTTTAAGAGTAAAATATTTGAGACAGATAAAATATTTTAGAAGTCAAAATAGACCAATCGTTTATTTAGATGAAACATATATACACAGCGGACATACTTCTTCCAAGAATTGGACAGACGATTCAACAAAAGGTTTGTTTTCTGTTATTTCTAAATGCCAAAGGCTTATTATAGTTCACGGTGGGGGAGAAATGGGTTTTATCAAAAATAGTTGGTTGATATTCAAATCAGGGACCAAGTCTGGAGATTATCATTCCGAAATGAATTCGGAAAATTTACTGTTTACGTTGTTTGTATTTATATAAGTGGTAAGTATTTAATACCATTTCATTTTAATTTCTTGATGGTTTCGGCCTTTACTTGATGAAAATCCATATTATTAAAATGAGAAAAACCAAACATGGTAGATTTTCACACTTTTATTTAAAGAAATAAAAATTAAAAATTGCACAATTGTTTCTAAGTACAACTTCTTCTTTAAATGTGACTCATTTACATTTCTAATATATATACAAAATAAACTAATTAGTTAAAGTAGGTACTTAAGAGAAATATATTAATAAAATTCCAATAATATATCATTACCGGGATTATCTCACAGAAAACTAAGAACAGGTAAAGAGATTTAATTAAGCTCAGTTATTAATATCTATTTATTTCAAGTGTTTCTAAATGGTTTAATTTAATGCCTTTATTCTCAAAATGTGAAATAATTTTTGCATAAACGATTGATTTTCAGATAAAAATATGTTTTGTAGAATTATTTTTGTTTTTAGTATAACTATTGTAATGTTTTAAATAGCTTTTTTTTTAAGTACGGCCCGTTTGACCAATATACAATTTTACCACAATTTAATTTATTTGAATAATGATAATTTCCTGACCGTAACAGAATTTTACATAAATACCGAGCGGAAAGCGGTAGAACAGCCTTAACCTAAAGTCGGCTTACTTAAAAATAATGATTTTTTAATTGACTATAGAATTATGTACTAATAATAACACTAAGCAATATGTATGAACAAGTATCATTCACTATTTTCCATTTATTTTATGTCTTAAAATATACGCGCCCCTGGTTTACAACTTTCTAGGTAAGCTACCAATTCTATTCATCGGTAGACGTGTTCGTAGCATTATAAATGCGCGTCCTTGGTTCTTTAGATTTGACGTTTACTGTACTTAATATTGACAGTTTACTATTTTTTTTTATCAAAGTAATTTCGTGTTTCCCGTCACTGAGGTATATAATTATTGGTTAATTCCTTATTTACATTTTATGATGTATTGTATTCGATATTTTTCATGGTCATACTAAAATCTAGTGAAAATCCAGATAAGGTATCAGTATTTACTTTTTTCTGCTTTGAACAATCCTGTATATAGTATAGACCTTTCCATAAAAACTGCGCTATCATGCATTTTCAAATAAACTATAGTATATTGCAACATCTACTTGTTGAAGATCTAAGGTTATACAATCTTCCCTTAATTGTAAAAGCTGCACCAAACGTAAAAACTTTCAAAAAAAGGTTAAGAAAACTTTACTTTGTAATATAGTTTAATTACTTTTTTTGTCAATATACACATAAACCTTATTTATAGACCGGGAGGTGATGACGATTTTCTCTTATAACATTACATATTAGAAATATTCTCCTAAGGACTTGGTACTAAAATGTCTCATGCCAAAAAGGCAATATAGATTTTCTTAGCAATTTAAAAAACGGGGGCACTTTTTAAATATACAAAAAATTCCATATGACCTTTTGTAAAAAAATCACTTCAAAATTTCATTGTTCTAAAACTTTTATTTCCGAATTTCTTGACCCATGACCGCGCGTCTTTAATCGCGTCTCAGTCATACAGTATTCACTTTAAAAATACATCCTTTGGACTAAATTTCTAATTGATTGTTCGGGAAGCATTTTTTTCTAATTGGTATTCAAGGGAAATTATTATAAGCGTAACAAAATAAAGGTACTGTTAATGAAATTTACAAACATCCGCCAGTTTGGAGCGTTCGTCATTCCCTTAATTGATAAGCTATCGCTCGAACAAAAATTATTGTAAAGTGTATTTATTTAGGTATAATGCGGTTTTTGAAAAATTCCAGTACGACCGTCCGTTCAGTCCATAGCGCTCGTAAAATGAAAGCATGGGAGCGGAGCCTTCAACGAAAATACATGCCTCTCTTCAGGACGCTCTAGAGGATAAACTATAAATACTAAGATAATACTTTCACCAAGAATTTTACATTTGAGAATAGCCGTTTGTGCAGCCTTCTGAAAAAAATCGATTTTTTTTTCTTTTTTACAAAACATCCCTAAAAAAAATCAAACCAGATAGTTCAGGAGCAATTGAAAGGGAATTATCAGGACACCGAATTGAAGCAACACACAAATGTTTAGCTTTTTAGTGGTACGCGCCAGTGTTACGCCCATAGATGGTAAACAGTGTGCGACAAGGGCACAATTAGGTCAGCGTCTGGGGCTTAGTGCATTCGGACCGGCGAGTTATGTTTTTTAGATACTTGCCTTGTGGCCATCTTGTAAACTACTGCACAATTTTACATATTGTTTGTACCTATTGTTTTCACATTTTAAATAAAACGTTTGTGTTATATCATTGAGAATCTAATTATTCCTGAATCCTGCCGACTGAGCAAAAAACCTAAAAGAAATTGTAGAAAGGTTAAAACTACACTCACACCTTGACATTTTTTTTAAACTTTCTTAGGAATGGTAATACGGTTCTCAAATATTTTTAGCGAGAAGACTGAATAATTATCTTCATTTCGTTATTTTTATAAAAAAAAAAAACAGATATTCCTAGTACAAGTTTAATAAAATTGTAATACAAAACTTAGTTGGCAGTGGAAACAAAATTAACACAAGTCGTTATTTTAACAAGATACAAATTCAGAATCATTAAAGTTTGTTGTTGACTGTAAATGTTCCAATAATTTCTTTAATTTTTGTTATTATCGCGAGTATCGTTACTTATTATTTAATTATTGCTGTTATTTTAACTGTTATTAAATACGGATTTCTCTTTTAATGAGCAGACCGACATGATCTTAGTTCTTGGATTCTGTCAAAGTAACTATCGCATATCAAGAGAGGTATCCGAACCGGAGAACTCAGAGTCATAAAACTTTTGCCCGAATCAAGAGACGTCTTCGAGATACAGGAATGTTGAAACCAGTCAGAATCAACGCTGGTAGATCCCGAGTCCGAAGACCTAATGCAGAAAAGGATGTTTTTTGAAATAATCGAGATTAGTACCAGACAAACAGGAATTCCAAAAAACACTGTGAATCGGATCTGCAGAGAACAATTAATTCATCCATTTCACATACAGCTAGTACAAGAGTTATTACAACTTGACCACAGATCACGTTTAAATTTTTCACAAATTATTCGGGAGCACAGAATACTTGACAACGGATTTCACACTTGTTTACTGATGAGTCTTGTTTTACACGTCCTGGCATGACTAGCCTGCACAATGAGCATGTTTATGCTGATAAAAACCCACATGATATTAAAGCTAGACACTAAAATTTAAAATTAATTTTTGGATTGGATTAATCGGAAATTTTTTGGTTGGGCCGATACGATTGCCAGATCGTCTTAATGGTGCTAGTTACCTTCGCTTCCTTCAAGAAATTTTGCCAGATTTATTAGACGACTTGTCCCTTAATTTTCATCGAAACATGTTCTTCATGCACGTGCAGTGAGAGAATATCTAAACGAACAATTTCCTGGTACATGGATTAGTAGGGGACAAGAAGCACCTATTAAATGGCCTCCACTGTCTCCAGATTTAAATATGTGCAACTTCTTTATCTAACGAGCGTTAAAAGAAAAATGTACGAGATTCAAATTAATACTAACAGCTGTGGAACAGAATCCAAAATGCCGTAAACGCACTACGAGAAAACAACGATGTCCTAAGGACATTTTTTAAGTCGACTTGACCTTTGTATTGATGATGGTGGCCGTCATATTGAACATTTATTATAAAAAAACGTTTTGCCTTTGTTTGTATTACAATTTTATTAAACTTGTACTAGGAATATCTGTTAACATTATTCAAGAAAACATTTTTTCCTTCGAAACTATGCGGATTACTTACAAGAGTAACAAAATTAAGATAATCATTCAGTCTTCTTGCTAAAAAAATTTGAGAACCGTATTACCACTCCTAAGAAAGTTCTAAAAAAATTTCAGGGTGGTTTTAACCCTTCTACAATTTGTTTTGTTTTTTTTTTAATTACTGAAAGGAGAGTAATCCTCTAAATTGTACTTTTCTCCAATTTCATTTAATTTGTTTCACTCTTTTCTGAACAGCGTACAAAAATGTTTCTTTTTTTATGTAAACTTTGAACTCTTCTCACAGGCAAACGGTACATTTTGGTATATAAATAAATTGGATACAATCGACTTATTTTGACCTCTACTACACGTGGTAGCTCCTGTGTCCCAGCAATTTTGGGACATCCTGTAGAAAGTCGTTTTCGTATTTTTGTCTTACTGCAGATTTGTGTTTTAGGAAGTTTAAACATTGGGTGAATATTTTTAGATTTTTTTTTTTTTTTAATTTTGTAACGAACAATGCAAACAGGTTGTTTTAAACAAACAACCATAGTATAATCGTAAAAACGGAAAATTTACCCATTTTTAAATTTTCCAATTCTAAAATTGGTGCCATTCGCTGTTTGACATCATAAACTCTTGTCACTTTTAATTATGTACAGCAAATTTACTATTTTGATTAAAAATAATAAATTATTTTATTGAATATAGCTTATTGTCCAAAAAAAGGATGTCCTAACTGAACTGTTAAATTAATTAGACTTACTTATAGGATTGTTCTGAAATGGTGGTACAGCCGGTGAATTAATCATTGAATGATTCCTCTTCTTTACACTTTTTTGTTCGCCTTCTGTTTTAGACAGTGACATGCTCGGCGTTTCAGGTGTTCCAGGCACTTGCCCTTCTGATTTGATCAACTTCCTTTTCTCATGATGCTTGGAATTAACAGCAGTTTTCACTAAATTAGACGGCGTCATCGAAGTAGGACTTTCCACTTTTGGTTCATTTTTAATCTCAGATTTAGGTTCCGTCTTAGGTTCCAGTTTAGGTTCCGGTTTAAGTTCCGGTTTAGGTTCCGGTTTAGGTTCCGGTTTAGGTCCCGGTTTAGAAACAGTCTTGGGAGAATCTTGAACCTTGACAATAGTATCTTGAGCCTTGAAAGATCCTTGGCTCTTGGCAACAGTACCTTTGGCCTTTGGATGTCCTTGCGTCGTTGGAGAACCTTGAATCTTTTGAGTTTCTTGAACCTTGGAAGATCCTGGAGCCTTGGTAGAATCTTCAACTTTGGGTGGACCTTGTACCTTGGGAGAACCTTGAACCTTGGGAGAATCTTGAACCTTGGGAGAACCTTGAACTTTGGGAGAACCTTGAACTTTGGGAGAACCTTGAGCCTTGGGAGAACCTTGAGCTTTGGGTGACCCTTGAGCCTTGGGAGATCCTTGAACCTTAGGGGATGCTTGGTTCTTGGAAGTGGTCTGTGCTTTAGGAGCTTGAACCTTAGTAACAACTTCAAGTGGCTTTAAAACTTTCTTATCTTCAATTTCCTTCTTATCTTCTTTTTCTATTGTTGAATCAGGCTTTGTTTCTTCACTTTGACCATCCTCTTCTTTACTATCTTTCGGTTTTCTCCTATTAGGGTTGTAATTAGGTGTAGACCTACTTGCTCTACATTCGGATGGGGCAGCAAAAAGGTGCGATAATCCATCATAAAGACCCTTTAACTGACCGAAACCGGGAGTCTTTAGAGATTTATCGGAAACAGATGAATCGTCACTTTTTGCAGGAGAAGCAACTGTATTTGTAGTATTTTCATTAAGTAATCCTTCCTCTTTTAGAACGGTGATAAAGAGATTTTCATTGCTTTTAGTTTGGGGTGAAGATTCTGTTGGTTTAGTTTCTTTCTGCTTGGCCTCAGCTGCTGCGGCTGCAAAACCCCAGGGTTTATCCTCATCTGAAGCCATACCACCAAAAGTATTTGGTTTTTCTTGTTTTGTGTTAAACATTTGCGGGATTTTTATATTTCTCATACTGGTTTTTGTGTCTGAGTTATCCACTGATGAATCCGAGTCCGAATCGGAACATGAAGCACAAGTTGAACTGTCATCTGAAGACATTTCCTCACTATCTTCGTCATCTTCTGATTCTGCAGGTTTTGGTGAAGGTTCTTTTTTAACAGGCTTAGTGTCTGCAGAAACAGCTTTTTTGGTTTTATCGTTATTAGCTTTGGTGTTTTTCTTATTCTTGGTTTCTACCATTTTTGGTTTGGATTTTTCATTATTAGAGACTCCATCTTTTTCTACTTTAACCCTTTTATCAGATTTATTTTTAACGTCTTTTTTCTTGTCAGAATTAAAAGCCGAACTTCTAAAGAACTTTTGTTTTTCTTTAGACATTTTATCACTGGTTTCGTCAGATTCCTGAGATTCAGGTTCATCTTTGATTTTTCTAGGAGTAGCATTAGATGTACTTTCGCTGTCACTTTTATCACTTTCATTGATGGGAGGAACTCTACTTTTGCGATTTGAAGCCTTGTTGTTGGCTGTAGAGGACACTGCTGCTGTTGCAGGGGTTGTAGAAGGTTGAACTTCTTTAGATCTGTAACAAGTATTAACGTTTAGTTTTGTTATTTTTTTTATAGAATAGTCAAAATCGTCTACCTTTGATTTTTCTCTTTTATTTTCTCACGGACTTTATCAATTTTTTTACGGACTCCAGTTCCTGGTTTGTTAGTTTTCTTTGAAGTCACATTACCATGATGACTTAAACAATGCTTACATCTCCATGGACACTTTGGTTTCTTTTCTGCGGGAGGATCTAAACATCCCATATGGTATATTCTTTCACAACTACAGCAACATAATAGACACATGGATACTCCAGTATTTCCTACAAATTAAAAAAAAATAGTTTTGCACTTTTTTGATCATTCAATAATATTTTTGTTATAATCCATGTCCAAAGCAAAATTAACCTATGGTTTAAATGTACTCCAGTCCAATCCTATAGAAGAATATTTAATTTTGCAGTTGTTAGTTTATTAGTTATAATTTAAGATTTGTCATGCAATTTTACAATTTACCAAATTATCCCAAAATGTAGTGGTTTAAGAATAAACAATATAAAAATTATGTTTCTTACCACATCCATCGCAGGTCTTGCATTCTTCACAAAACCATTTGCCCCCTTTTATTAGTAGAGCTAATAATTCAGGTTCACTGGCAGTACATGATATATGTACCATAGAACCGCATTCAGAACAAGCACTCAGCTTTTCAAAAACGCCTTTTCGATTTTTGGCCTCTGTTCCAAGACATTCTGCACATATAGGTAATGGTGTAGGAATCTACAATAAATTATATATTTAAAATGTAAAAAATAAATAAAACAATTTGATTAATCATAATTTCAAAAATAAATTCGCTTAAAAACTCAAATAATATAGCCTAAATGTATTTTAAATTTTGTTTAGTATCTACAATAATCATTTTGCTAATGCATTTGCACCGAAGACATTGTAAAAATAGTTGCAAATTAATTTACGAGTGGCAACAAAACTTTACAAGTAAATGTAACAATAGTGGACGAAATAAAAATAACAAACAAGAGCAGTGATTAAATAACTGGAATAAAATTATATATACTTAAGGAAAATAAATTATAGTAAAATAATTATCAGTAGTTATAATGGCCCTAAACAATATAAGACGGGGTGTTGAGGGACAAGGCGGAAGAAATTAGACTGAGCCTAAAAAATATGTATTGTGCAATTACTAAAAATGTATTTACAGGTTTCCACTCATCATTTTTTCTCTGCTGTAGTACTGCGCCAATTGTAAAATCAGAAGCATCAACCATAAGTGACAATTTAGAAGAGCTATCAGGCTGATGTAGTAAAGCAGCTTCAGCTAGAGCTTTTTTTAGTTGCTTAAAAGATTCAATTTGTCTATCTGTCCGAAACACCTTTTTATTTTTCTCAGGATTATCTTACTGGAAATCATTAAGTGAACCCTGGATTTCTGCTACTTTTGGGATAGCTAATCTATAAAAAATTACCATTCCAAGAAAGCGCCTTAAAGAGTTTAGGTCTGTTGGCATATCATAATTTAATATAGCTTCAACTTTTTGGGCAGACGATTTAACACTTTTACATGAGACCATAATATAATCAAGGAATAATATTTCTTTCTTACCGAATTCACTTTTCTCTGGATTGATGACAATCCCATTTTCTTGCAGTGTAGAGAATAATTCCTTTAAATGATGTTGATGTTTTCTCATGTTGTGAAAAAAATTAAAAAATAATATAAGGAAAGCAGAAATGAAAATCATGTGTAATTTGGTTCACAAAGCTTTAGCATGTTTGAGCTGCATTTTTTTTAACCGAATGACATTTTAAAATATTCGTATAGGCCAAATTGAGTGATAACTGCTGTTTTTCTATATCTTGTGGATCGACAAAAATTTGGTGGAAGGCCCTAACCAAATTAATTTTTAAAAATATTTTAATTCTAGCAAAATAGTGCTTGAAATCCTTTATATTAGGTAATGGGTATCTATCAGAAACAGTTCCAGCATTTAATTATCTGTAATCGCCACAAGGTCTCCAGCTACCATTTGACTTGTGTAACGGACTTGCCCATGTACTTTTAGATGGCCGTATGATCCCATTTTCTAGTAAAAATTCAAACTCTTATTTTGCTGCCATCAGTTTTTCAGGGTACAGCCTTCGTACTTTGGAGTAAACGGGATGTCCTTTTGTTATGATTCGATGGGTTATATTAGATAAGTTTCTTTGAACTCTTAATGATGTATGAGTCAGATCAGGAAACTATTGTGTCAATCGTTCTTTTTTCCAGCGGTGAGTTCACCAATGAGCCAACGCATCCATCGGCTTTAAAAGCGGATGGATATCTGATGGATGAATGGTGGAGATAGTTAATTAATTTGTTTGAACGTGTAAACACAAGTATTTAGATAAAAATGAACCTACATTATAAGAGTTTAAATATAAAACGGCTGCAGAAGAAATAAATTACTGTTAATATAAATTAAAATGGGTTTAATTTTTAAAGCGATGTCGAACGTCAAACTTTTCATTTGAGAAATGTCGTTCGTTCTTATTTTCAGCGCAAATACCTTCCAGCAGAAATTAATCAGTGACGTCATGACATCAATCACTGATGGAACAATTATTGTTGAATAAAAGAACAGACCTATTATCTGAAAGCATCACTTATTTGACGTATGACATATAGGAAACCTTAAAATAAATTTTTATTAGTTGAATAATACATAATTTACTGTGTTTATTAGAGATAAATGAAATCATTATTGTGCTCGGGCTAATTTCTTCACTATGTCCCTCCCTCAACACAAAGGTCTTATATGGTTTATGGCCACTATATTATAAAAAATACTTTAGAAGCATCCTTAGTAAATATGGATAGCATCAAGTAAACATAAATACCAAAATAACGTTTCTAAATTATATTTATCAATTCATTAATATAAAAAATAATTAAATTTGTCCTTTAAATATCTATTTAAAATTATTTCTATGTAAGACGATTAAACAAATTATGCTTAAATATTACTCGTCTCCGAAATACAGGGTGTTAAAGTTGAAAATTCAAAAATTAATAATGTCTATAATTTTTTATTTCTCAGTATAATTTTACTAAATACGGCAAACATTTTTGGTTTCATAAGACACACCTATCAGCAAAAAATCCGTTAAATAAACTTTTCCAGTGGCATACGAATTAAAACCTTCGTCCCCTCTAAATTTTACGCCACTGTACAAAAACTTATTTAGACTATAATTTTAAATTTTTTATATGCTTTAAATAAATCATGTACTCTTGTTGGGAACTCATGTGATTGGTTCTCGAGATATGCACACCCAAAGGAGAATATTCTTCATTTTAATTTGTAATTTTTTTATTTTTTTATAAATTCCCAACAAGAATGCATGATTTATTTAAGAAACATCAAAATTATAGTCCAAATAAGTTTTTGGAGAGTTGCATAAAGTTAGAAGGGATGAAGGTATTACATACCTATACCGTACGCCACTGGCGAAGTTTATTTATCTGTTTTTTTGCTGATACGTGTATCTTAAGACACCAAAAATGTTTACCGAATTTAGTAAAATTAAACGCAGAAAAAAATAATATCCCATTATTAATTTTTGAATTTTCAACTTTAACACTTTGTATTTCGGAAACCAGTAATATTTTATCTTAGATAAAATATTACTTGTATATGCTTCAGTAATATGGTCCCTAATTATAACGCGCATATCGTAACTTTAGAAAAGGTTCAGCGAAGTTTCATTAAGAGTATTCAGTATTATTTTCATGGAATCTACCCGGAGGGGGGATACCCACAAGACCATCTTTTGAAAATGTTTGGAATGCAGAGCTTATTTCAAGGTAGAATTATATATTCAATAATTTTCATTTACAAAATAGTACACCATTTAATTAAATGCCCTGCTTGTGTGCTCAGCTTAACTTTTTTGTCCCTTTAGAACAAATTTATTATGTCAGTATCTATTGCATCGTATGCTGTCCACGGCTTAATGACAAGTGGAGATATTGATTTATTTTGTAGTAGCATTTCAAATATTAAAAATTTCTATTCTTGATCCATTATATCACATTTAAAAATTCATTTATATATGTATATTTTGGTTGTTAGTAATGTTCTTTTTTTTCATATATTTTATATTATAGCTTTGTTTCTAATGCGATATGTGTGATTAATCTTTTTTCTTCACTAAGTTTTTTTTCAGATTACTCTCACAATCTCATTATTTATAGTTTAAATAATTTGTTTTTTCCTATTTGTTGTGTTATATACCCATGTTTATTAATGTAAATTGCGCATTCTGTAATGGGCATTAGCCGTTGGATTTATGATTAAATAAATAACAAGTATTAGAAATAAAAAATAAAAAAAACGACTTCAAAAACGTGCAGATGCCATCACCACATCTTAACTAAATTTATATGAGACCACCCCTGAGGTACCCCCTTACTTACAAAAAAAGAATCATATAAATCGGACAAGGTGGTAAAGCATTATCGCTAAACATACATAAAAAATGAAGTTTGAGGATTTTCTCATGGGCCCAATTATTAGATTTTGACCAAATTTATATGGGACCACCCCTGAAGTACCCCCTTTCTAACAAAAAAAGAATCATTGAAATCGGACACCGTGTTAAATAATTATCGCTGAACATACATAAAAAAAATATTGTGACGAATTGTGAACCTCCTCCTTTTTTGAAGTCGGTTAAAAAATAAAATAAATAAATAAAAAATAAATTCAATAAAATAATAGTAATTTGACAATTTAAAAACCCTCATTTATTGATATGATATAAAACACAATTTTTATTTTTAGGTTACTCTTGAAGCCTCTAAAAAAGAGCGTTGGTTGGCTCTACTATATCTGATCTCAGCTTGCACCCTGTCATGAACCATACCGAAAATAATCTTTAACAACCCAAAAAAGGTACCTATCAAAAAAGGGTGTAATTTTTTACTTTTTTGTTTGTATACAGATAAGGAAAGTATATGAATCATGATTTTTAAATTATCTATACAACCAATATCTCAAAATAATCGATTTATGAATAAAACGTTTAGAGAGGGGGGTGAAGTGACTTGTCTTTTGGGTGGTGAAATTTCTTCTCAAAGTCCAATTCGTCGTACCCAAAGTTCATTTTCCTAATTCTAGGGGTTCTATATATTGACCTCCAATGGGGGTAAAGTATGGGGGAAGTTTGGCAGTTTGAAGTCGTTTTAGGCGGGGATACGGCCTCGCTGTTAGATTTTTTATCCCTTACCTTACCATTTAGGCCTGGCAGAGGAAGAGGGAGGCGAAGGTGGAGGAGTGGGGGAAAGTAATTATTTTTTTCGTTGTTCGCGAACCTATAGCCGACTATGTAATATTTCCCATGTCGATGTCTGTTCGAAATTAAAGCGTGCTCATGTTCGGTACATACTAAATTTTATTAGTCAATCATAATTCATAATTATTGTGGATCAATGGATTAAATATATCGAAGGTTGGAAAAACCGGTAAAGTGCGCATGAAGGGTTCCGCGACAGTGAACAAGATTCAATAATATGTAGATACTTTTTAAATAAATAAGAGCTACCAAAAAAAGCAAAAAAAAAACACGTTTCTAGTAGTCCCCTTTAACTTTTAATTTATTTTTATTTATATTGTTACAGTGGCAACAAAAATACATATTCTGTGAAATTTTCAACTATCTACCTATTATGGATCATAAGTTACAGCCCGCTGACAGACAAACGGACGGACAGC